AATAAATGTAATATAATATACTACATATTTGTATATTTTCATGACAACTTGTGTTAATATGAGCTTGCTGAAATAATTAACAATTTTTCAATGAGCAAAATTGTTTTAGATATGTATTCATTTGTTTCCTTACACTAAGAACATAAATGTGCTAGTTGTACGAATCAAATTTTTAGTATCATCAAAAATATATGGATACATTATATTAATACTAAAAACTCGTGCATATAGTAGTAGACAATAAAATTATAGGAAACCATGCAATCGTAAAGTACGTTAAACAACAAGTAGTAATATTTTAATATCCTCAAAATGCAATGTTTGCCCATGGAACATGTAGAACTCATGATATGCACAATTGAAAACTATCTACAAATTGTTTAACATTTTCAAAGATTATATATGTTTCAATGAGATTTACGGCTCTGCAGCCATTCTGCTTCTAGCCGTTTCCCTGGATCGATTGTGTACTTCTGCCGTTCGGGAAGTTATGCCAAATATGTCTTCATGATAACGATTTTCGTCCTTGGAAGAAAAACAAGAAGAGATGAAACAATGTGAATTTATTGTTTAAACGATAAGCAGCGATACAACTTACACGTAGAGACAGCATGTATGCTTCGACTTGTTTATCTGTCATTTCACTGTGCGTTTGTATAATTTGCTTCAATGTTTGATAAACATCTTCCGCCATTGTGCAGTCACCGCATACATAGAAGTGACCGCGTTTGTTCATCAACATATCATGAATTTGTGGTGCTTCCGTCTGAATCAAATCTTGCACATATGTCTATAACAAATAATAACAAAATATTAGGCATTAAAAATAATGAGAACCTATCAAAGGTGTATCGTACCTTTTTTAATCCAGGTTCTCGAGAAAGAGCTAAGAAGACCTTATCTAAAACTCCAGTCTTTATCATTTCTTTCTTTTCGTCCCTATATAAATCTAAGCTTTTCCGTCGACAACCAAAGAATAACCAGACTTTCCCATACTCAAGATCTGTAAGTTTTTAATTATGTTTATGCTGCAATTAATCTTACACCGATGAATAGGAAGAAGTACCTGGACGTCGTTTCATTTCTGCGAGTCTATGACTCCAGAAACCGCGGAAAGGTGCGATTCCAGTTCCTGGTCCGACTAGTATCATAGGAGCTTTCGGTTCAGATGGCATATAAAAATTAGGCGCACTAAATAGAAATAGAAACATATTAAAATTATGATTAAATGACAACATGCAACTGCAAGCAACCTAGATATGAACTTACCTGCGAACAAACACATACAGTGGTTCTCCATCCGATACCTCCCGTAAATAATTAGAACAGACTCCATAATGGACTGGACCAAACCCACCTAAGGTAGATTTTTCATATATATTAGTTACTGACAAACTGTCAACAAGTTTCTTATATTTCTACCTTGCGTTTTATATTGTACAACGGCGACAGTGAGGTGTATTTGTCCTTGATGCACATCAGGAGAAGAGGAAATACTGTAAAACCTTGGTTGCAAAGGTGTTAAGTGAAGGAGTAATAATGGTGCAAAAGGTTTCACAGATGGAAATTCATCTAGCACTTCTACTAAATTGGGAAATTTCCAATGCCTCCAGTCTTCATACGCTGCTGAGTCCTATGTGGATAAAAAGATGTTTTAACGTTATTACGGATTTTGTAAATCGAATATTTTTTAATTTAATTGTAATGAGACATTTACGGAAGACAGGAGATTTAGTTGTGCTTGTTCCTTTACGTTGGTAGCTATTGATGCGAAGTATCTGAGAAGATTCGGTGTTGGCGGTGTTGTAATATCCAAAAATCTTGTTAGTAGCATTCTCAGACTATTCGGTAAATACCTATCGTGTGGTACCCATCGTTTTTCAATACCTAAATGAGTCAAATAATATGTATAATTAAAATCACGAAAAAAATATGAATTTTACGAGCCGAGTGATAATCATGCAAACCATTAGGCGTGTGAGATTGTTTTTGCATTTGCAATTCAATTGGTACATCTGGGTCAAACGGGGTCTGTACTCGTTTCAAAATTCCTTCCACAAGCTCTGATCTGTTACTCGCAAACACCCCCAAATGGTCGCCAGGTTTATATAATATTTCCATGCTTGCAATGTCATCTAATTCCAAAAGCAACGTTGTTCCGCTGTAATGACAAAGTGACATCAATTTACAATGTATTGTAATATTTTATATTTATTTATTGGATATATATATACGTATAGTCACCTTGTTGTGTCGCGACATAAATTGGTTTTCGCGTACATATTACAAGTGGTGACATTTCTGTTATGACACTTGCTTAATGCTGAAAAGACGCATTTCATTTACGAAACTTTAATCGAGAGAATTTACGTAGAAATTACACTAAAATACACAGAAAATTATATACCATATATATGAGAAATTTATGTCACCTTTCGTAATCGGTTGAGGATCAGCTTCTACAAAACGAACAGTTGCAGCCGTTAATGCTTCTGATCCCATAGATAAAGCGACTTCTCTTAAAGTGTCATCATCATCCAAACAAAATGTTTCACAAGCAACCTAGTACAACGGTTAAAATTTACAATAATTATGAAAATATTTTTGCATTTTGAAGTACATATGTGACACTGAATTCTAATAAATAAAATACTAACAGCGAATGTATCAGCTGCCCAATTCCGAAAAGCCTGCTCCTGTCCGCACATTTCGTCTCCTTGGGCTAATCGCAATAAACGTTCTCCTCCTAATTCACCGAGTAAGTTATCCACATATCGTCCAAATGCACAGAAATTCGGATATGCCGATGATCCCAACGCAAAAACGGCAAATCTGCAGAAAGGTATTGGTCATTTAATACTTGATATCCGTGTCTTGACTTATCTGTCTCATACCTGACATTGCTTAAGGGCCCAAAAGTATCTTCCGTTTGAGAATCTGTAGTTGATCCGCGCATAGAATCCAGTCTATCCAATCTTTTACTATTACTTACTTCTGTTTGGCTGTTCGCCTTAATGAAAGACTTTGACGTAGCTAAACTGCAATTTCAACGTGATTATGAGGTGTAATAAATAACAAACAAAATCATTGGGAACGTTACCTTATTTTATTGCCGCTATTAATGTATGCTTCGTTCATTTTCATTGCATACAAATTTTGAGCGAAAGCCTGAAAATTGAAGCGTACATGTAACATACATAATTAAGGGAATAGAGTTGTTTTATGGATTTGAATTACCTCGCCATTTTCTGGAGGATCGCCGTTCCCAAAAGTGGACGTTATCACCAACAATAAAGCTTCGTGTTCGATATTGCTAATGTCGTAATCTGACATGGACAGTACCTGCAATCGACAGTTTCAATAGTTTTCAGTACTTTTAAATTGTTATGAAGAACAAGTGTAAGAGTTACCTGGGAATGGAACGCGTGTCCCAGTAGTTCAGCGAGTTTTTCAGCGTACATCTGCGATGTTCCAGTTTCTGTAGCAAATAGCACTGTTGCTTTTATTCTTCGGGATAAAGCTCTTCCAAATAACTTCGACGTGAATTTCACAGCTCTGGAAATATTTAAATTTTATTGAAACAAATAGGTTTTTGATTTAAATCATTGTTAAGTATTTTCAAGTGGTGTATCACCTGGCAATTTGTTTAAAATGGAACTTTCGTCTTGGTTTCTTTGCCGTTGATCTTTTATCTCGACCCTTCTTCCAGATATGTGTTTTCCAAGCAGGATCCTAGAATTTCGTATTAAATAATGTAACTAAATCTAGTGTAAGATTTATAGAGAATCGCTGATTTCATTGTAAGAACCTGGGCATCGTAAGACGGTTTCAAATGATACAGCGCCATTTCCTGATGGAACACCGGTGTCGCTGATCCTGATATCGGTGGAACGATCCACAACCAATCGGCCGGACATCCGTTTCTCAATCGCATCTCGTTCTCATAATGTTTCATAAAAGACTCCGATGCCATGTGATGATCTACAATTGTCACATTTTTCATCTAAAAGAGATCGCAACTTATTATTATTCCTCGGAGGTTGCCTCAAGCAGAGTGTAACGCGTATGCCCTACTTGGAAACTGTGCAGCACAGCAACGTTAGCCTCTATCATAGCTTTGTCTTTCCACAACGATGTGGAGGTCCTTGTATCGAGCTCCATGTGCGTTGCGATGGTCTACAAATAACGTTCACACTATTAATATTTATATTGCAAGCAAAGTATTACAATTTTGTCAGAGATGAACCTCTAATAAATTATATCGTTGCACGTCGCACAGATCTCTAGCTCCGATTTCGGTGCTCATATACCAGCCGTTGAACGGTGCGGCTGTGAACTCCAAACCTCCGCAGTCGAAGACCATCCCTGATACTGCAGGCACAGCGAACCATTTTAATTGCAGCTTCTCAAACCAATCATATCTACCGTGAACAATTGAATTAATTAATATTGATTTAGTGGGACATTCATATCTATGCTAACACTTACGTAGGGTGGCTGAGGGGAACTTCAAGGACCAGTTCACTCGGAATATCAAAGTAATCGGGGTCATGACCATTCGCAGATAATACCAATGGTAATACGTCGAAACGGGTGCGGGCACCCTTCCAGCCCAATTTTATGCAGAGCTGCGCAATGCAATATATAAATGTTTAGCATAATATGACTTTTAATCAATGTTTGTACGGTTGACGGTGAGTTTCTTTTCCTTTGCATTCGTTTTATACAAACCTCTGTGAAATCCACATTCACTGGGTCACCAGTTATGGTACCATCCGGATTCTTATAACCGGCGTAACCAATCAATTGCTGATTCCAAACCCTGTAATCGTGTTTTCCATCTGTGCGTTGCGGGAATATTGTTATCGCGGACCTGCAAATTTAGTCATTAAGGAATGGACAATCTCAAATCAAAGTAGTGTTATTGAAACCACCTGATGTTTCCTTTGTTCGTACTGTATTTGATGTGATTGCACAGAGCTTCGAACATACCGCTGGTCGTAGTCACATAACGGCAATCAAACACCTGCAAACGAGTTCATAGAATATCGACGAGAACGTAGAATATTTTGACGTAGCAGGATTACCCACTTGTAACTTCGACCATTGGATGCGGCCGATGCATCTTGCAGCATTGCGCCATGCCAGTTTTGCTCCAAAAATTAATTCGGTTTCGGTTAATTGGTAAGTGCCGGTGACTAGAACCTCCTTTTTCACGCAATCCCAACGAGAATGGTGAGCATCGCTGTTCAATCTGTAAATTAATTGTTTTATAAATTCTTGAAGGTGGGATACAGTGTTTAACGTAGACAGAGCCAAAAGACAGTGGTAGAAGACAAGGAGTGGGGGTAGCCTGCTGCCTTTGAATCATTAGTTAGATTTGATCCAAGCCCGTAAAGATTGTTGCGATCGACTCTCGACCTGTTTTAAATTCCCGGTAACCGTAGATTTCATACCTTCTGATGGAAGTAAAGTACTGTTCCAGGAAGTCTTTTGCATGCACGAGGATTTCTTCTCTGGTACGAGGTTCCGGTCCATGCGTTGGCAACTGCATAACGCTACCAAGACACACTTGACCCGAACACAACGTTTTCTGAAAAAGGCACGTTTCGCTGTTAATGCAAAGCATTATAATTCAATCGAGTTCTCTAATAATATTACAGATTATAAATAATTTGTATTATTTTTTATAAATAATTATATTATTATTANTTGAACGGTGCGGCTGTGAACTCCAAACCTCCGCAGTCGAAGACCATCCCTGATACTGCAGGCACAGCGAACCATTTTAATTGCAGCTTCTCAAACCAATCATATCTACCGTGAACAATTGAATTAATTAATATTGATTTAGTGGGACATTCATATCTATGCTAACACTTACGTAGGGTGGCTGAGGGGAACTTCAAGGACCAGTTCACTCGGAATATCAAAGTAATCGGGGTCATGACCATTCGCAGATAATACCAATGGTAATACGTCGAAACGGGTGCGGGCACCCTTCCAGCCCAATTTTATGCAGAGCTGCGCAATGCAATATATAAATGTTTAGCATAATATGACTTTTAATCAATGTTTGTACGGTTGACGGTGAGTTTCTTTTCCTTTGCATTCGTTTTATACAAACCTCTGTGAAATCCACATTCACTGGGTCACCAGTTATGGTACCATCCGGATTCTTATAACCGGCGTAACCAATCAATTGCTGATTCCAAACCCTGTAATCGTGTTTTCCATCTGTGCGTTGCGGGAATATTGTTATCGCGGACCTGCAAATTTAGTCATTAAGGAATGGACAATCTCAAATCAAAGTAGTGTTATTGAAACCACCTGATGTTTCCTTTGTTCGTACTGTATTTGATGTGATTGCACAGAGCTTCGAACATACCGCTGGTCGTAGTCACATAACGGCAATCAAACACCTGCAAACGAGTTCATAGAATATCGACGAGAACGTAGAATATTTTGACGTAGCAGGATTACCCACTTGTAACTTCGACCATTGGATGCGGCCGATGCATCTTGCAGCATTGCGCCATGCCAGTTTTGCTCCAAAAATTAATTCGGTTTCGGTTAATTGGTAAGTGCCGGTGACTAGAACCTCCTTTTTCACGCAATCCCAACGAGAATGGTGAGCATCGCTGTTCAATCTGTAAATTAATTGTTTTATAAATTCTTGAAGGTGGGATACAGTGTTTAACGTAGACAGAGCCAAAAGACAGTGGTAGAAGACAAGGAGTGGGGGTAGCCTGCTGCCTTTGAATCATTAGTTAGATTTGATCCAAGCCCGTAAAGATTGTTGCGATCGACTCTCGACCTGTTTTAAATTCCCGGTAACCGTAGATTTCATACCTTCTGATGGAAGTAAAGTACTGTTCCAGGAAGTCTTTTGCATGCACGAGGATTTCTTCTCTGGTACGAGGTTCCGGTCCATGCGTTGGCAACTGCATAACGCTACCAAGACACACTTGACCCGAACACAACGTTTTCTGAAAAAGGCACGTTTCGCTGTTAATGCAAAGCATTATAATTCAATCGAGTTCTCTAATAATATTACAGATTATAAATAATTTGTATTATTTTTTATAAATAATTATATTATTATTATTATATTATTATTATATTATTATTATTATTATATTATTATTATTATTTATAAATAATTATATTATTATTTACAAGTGATTGTACTATTTGTTGTAAGTAATAACATTATTTTTCCACGAGTAATTACATTAGATTTTATAAGTAGTTATACTATTCTTAATAATGAAATTGTTTATCGTAAGTAATTAAGTTCGTTTCATCTTATTTAGTTATTAATTCAAAATTGTATTGCTCGTAATCTGTGAATATGGTGTCATCAATTTTTTTTTCATCGGCTGGATGATTGTGACGTCTATATACTTTTAGAGATGATATCTTAGGGATGATCGAACGTCGCCGATGAAAGTACCGATACGAGCTATGCTTTAAGGCTCCATAATATCTTCGTCTTCGATTTTCTTGACTCCAAAACATCCAGCTTCGTTGCTCCTCAAAATGAACGATGCGTTTTCGTGTATTACATTGTTATAATTTTGCAATATTATTAAATGAATATTAAATATAATAAAATCTTCAATTTTTTTTATTAGAATAACGATGCCTTCATCATTCCTTGTGTAATTGGCATTCTTTTCTAAGTACTCAATTATACTTGTTCTAAAATATTTTGTTTGTACCTTGTTCAAATTATTATCTACATTTTTATCCAAGATTTCCCCTGGCCAAACTTTTTGCGAGCATTAATACTATTAAATTGCCTATATTTTGTATTTTTGATTGTTCTGAAGTTATTCTACACATATCCCAAAGGATTATACTATAATTTCATCAATCGGTACGGCCTTTAGGGTCTTCGGATGTTTATTTTCATAAAAAGTCTTGAGGATGATTTAGAATCTTTTTCATTTCTTTTTATCCTTCTAAATTCTATCCTCCTGCCGAAAAGTCAATGTTTCGATCAAAGTCGTTTGGAAACAGAATCGGCCAACTTGTTTTGAGCAATGTATTACGTACATCCCTACATTCGTGCAACTAGTGAGCCACCGAACGCACGCTCATTCTTCGATGAGTATTGACTCGGTCCACGTCAAATTCGCCCACTCGTAGTTTTGCGGCAACCCCCGCACTGTCATCTTATCGTCCAAATCTCGCGAACACGAATATCACCCGATTATAAACGGTCCCGAATCTCGACAATGGATAAGACAGAAGAACGTTCCACGCTGATAGAAATCAAATCAAATAAACGTAGGAGAAAGAGATGTACAGAGTTTTCGAATGTTGCATTTTCACTACTTACCTCTGCATTTCTGGCGTGCAGAGAATCAAACGCTTCGGTCTTGTAAATGAGGTTTCTCAGTTTGGTCGGCTTTCTTTGGCAGGCTCCAGTCTCGTGCTCCTTCATCTCGACGTCTTCTCGACTCGAGAACGCGCCCCTGACTCGTTGACAACTCTCACTGTTCACGTATATACCTTATCGCAGCGTGTAAAGGAGTGTTATTAGAGAGAAAGAGAGACTCTGATCTGGGAGGAGAGAGGGGTAGGGATGGCCGCGGGATGAACGGGTGGAGAGGACAGCAGCCCCCAGCGAACGAGATGTCACATGCGTCGTAGAGCTGTGCCATCGATTTATCGCCGAAATTTTCGACAATCGAAAATCTAGAATTGATCTACAACCTTGCTGAAGACGACTGTTGGGACGTATGCGGATCTGTCCTGCTAACGATTGTATTGGATCCACGGTTATATCGTAAAATATATCCTGCTATCGATCGATCTTGATTTTAAAAAATAACGCTGTTGCGTCAAATGTTATTACAATGGAACTTTTGAAACTTAATTAATAGTATTCAATATGATAGTATATATATATATATATATAATATAATAGTTATATATAGTTATATATATATATATTAGTATAGTATATATATATACATAATATAATAGTTATATATATATATATATAACTATTATAACTATTATATTATATATATCTACTATCATATTGAATACTATTAATTAAGTTTCAAAGGTTCCACTGTAATAACATTTGTTAATAATGTTATTATCTCAATAATATGAATATTGTCGCATTAATCTTGTAATATTAACATAGCATTATATAAATATATCAATTCAAAATTACAAGTTTTATATATATATATATAGTTATATAAATATAATAGTATTCAATATTCACCTCATTTGAATCATTTGAACCTTTATGGCATCGCTCATGGATAATTACCATCTTCATTGAGAAATGAGCGGCGATCACCGATAACCTGTTTCCTTAATCAAAGCGAGTATCAATTGCGCGTACACTTTGGCATCTATTATATTTCAGAGTGTTTTAGAGCGATATAAATGACTTCTTTAATATCGTCATACTTTCACGATCAGTTTGTAATCAGGAGAATGACCTGGCTGTAGGAACAGTTCGGAAAAGTTCGAAAAGTTCAAAATCCGATAAAATTATAATACGACAGTAATGCCATCGTTGGGCGCGTGCTGGAAATTCGTCCATCGTTGATTTTACGGGCTGTCAATAATATTTTATTTAAATACTTCAGTAGTAGATACAACGTTTTAGTGTGCCGAATAGAGCAGTTCAAGTAGTATGTATAAAGGTTTAGCGCGTGTTGCGTGTCGCTCAAGCGTTGAATCTATTTACGTAGTAGGAAGGAAATTAAATCGTGGCGTTTTAATCAGATTAAATACATATATTTTTAGAGATCAATTCTAATCGAGCATATTTTGATACGTTAGAAAAGTAATAAAGACGAATATTTCATCAGTATTTAGCGTGGTAAGTGCGGAAGCTTTGAGAGGCATTTAACGCTGACGCGCAAAAACATCCGACAATTCCAATTGCCTTATATTTCATTTCTAATTAAAGTGCAATCAAAGTGAATACAATATAATGCATCAGGAGGAAAACAAGCATAAATCTCCTTTAGAATCATGCAACATGTCGCCACAGAAATTACAGCGATTCCTAAAGACCGGCGGTGAGCTTTATTATTAGTTTTTACAACTCTTGAGTGAGCAATAAAAACTATCATTTCGTAATTGTCATGCAGGATCCGAAGGAAGAGACGTGAGATCTCGCACACATCCATTAAAACGAACACTGGATTCTACTCCCCATAATAGTCCTCAGAAACGCTCCAAGACGCCCGAAAGTCGCGGTACGTTATCGTGTGAGGTGAAGATGTAAAGAGCTCAAGGTCAAATCGAAGATCATTTCTGTGTAGTAAAAATTATGCATTTCCATTTAAAGAAATGATGCAACTGTTAATTGCACCTGCATTGATGCACTTAAAGGAATCTAACGGCCTACGGATGTAGTGCTCTTCGTGTCATTTATCTTGCTTTGACATTTTTTGTAAATGCATTAGTGACGCAGTTATGACCTGAAACAATTGCGTAGCCCACTCTGTATATGTATATTATATATGTATACATACGTATATATACATATGTATTATACATACATATATTGTTACATCCTCAACAAGAAAGGAATCTGTTTCTCAATAAAAAATATGCATCTTTCATATATATTTGAAAAAAATATTACTGTTCTCTCATTTAATAATAACAAATAAATATAAATTACAGAATCAATTAAGAAAGATGAGAAATTACAAGTTGAGAGCGGTTCCAGCTATCGAAAGAGTGAATCATACCATCATGAGAATACTGAGAAAATTAATAAACCATGTACAAGCGGAAAATTTGTCAACACGTTAATAGAACAATGGTCAAAGCACATGGGTGTTGAGAATCCATTTGTGCAGACAATAACGGTAATATTTTTACAATGATGACAACCAGACCGCAGAAAGATATTTATATTTTTTTAAAATTCGATTGTTTATAATAGTCGCAAGAGAGTCCAATAGTAGACGAAATGAAACGGAAGCTCATTATGGAGGAGCGAAAGATTCAATTGCTCACGAAAAAGTTGAAAACCGCTGAGGAAACCATATCCTCTCTCTCAGCTTCGCGCGAAGCTGAAGCACAGTCAAAGGAAGAAATTTTTAAACAGTAACGGGATCATTTCTTTTTTTTTAATGTCTAACATTAACGGAAATTATTAGAACTAAACTCTTTCAGATTGAACAGCGACTGGGAATCGATAACCAATTATTATGCTGAAATATCTCAGAGCTTGAAGGGATTTCAACAACATAAAGATAATTTGTATAAGCTATACAACAATATTACGGTTATGCAAGAGACAGCAGTAAAGAAATTGCAACAAGAATTAAATACTATGAAATTAAAGGGTAAACATATAATCTAATCGTGTGAAATCGTTGACAGATTTGTTTCCTTACTTTAATTAATGTTCCAGACGACGAACGAAAGAACATTTGTGCAGCAGCAGAAAATACTGTTTTAATTCAAGAAAAAAGGTATGTTTATAAATATTTCAATAACTTTATCTAATCGTTACGTCTAAAATTGCTAGAATACATGAAATGATGATCGCGGAGGCTGAATTCAAGAAACTATTGGAGAACGTCAAGAGCGAGTCAGTTTCCGAGAAAAATCGTTTACAAAATGCTCACGCGGAAGAAAAAGTAGAATTAATGAAGGTTTGATAACATTCTCTGATTATTGTTTTTGTGTAAATATGCGTGCGTTATCTTCTGATTTGCGCATATTTTATGGTAAAGGTAACAGACGGTATAAGTGATCACGATTTCAGAAACAAGAAAAGCTCACGTCGACGAACATTGAATTACAAGGGCAAATACAAAATGTCGTTGACGAAAAGCAAAATTTAACCGAATTGCTGAAAGAGAAAGATAAAGAAATCTCAGCTCTGCAACAAGATATTTCTACATTCAAGTGCGTATTTGTACTCGTTTTTTAATCAAAAACTAATGATTAAAAACTAATGAATCGATTTTTTTCAAGAAATAAGATCGAGAATCTGTTGAGTCAGATTGCAGATTTAAGTTTTAAATATGAGAAATCGGTTGAAGAAACGACGGTATTTAAAAAGGAATTAGAGTCCAAAATGCAAGAAGTAAGAACGTGTCATTTTTATTTATATATAATGTTTAATTAAGCATATAAGCATCAGTGTTATTGTTTAAATAGATCGATAAATTCAGAGAAAATTTAAGAACCAGACAAGAAGTAGAAAGTAGTTTAGCCAAAGATCTTGATATGATCAATACAAAGTATATAAAGGCAAGTAATGATTTTGCAACTATGGAAAATAAGTTAAAAGATATGGAAGCTCGTAACTCAGCATTACAAAAGAAAATATACGATATGACGAACACGACTGAACGCGAAATCGCGGAATTAAAAAGAGACATTGAATTTATGGAAAAAGAGAAGAAAAAAATACTTTCCGAAAAACGTACGAAAATTCAGGTACACGCACGACAGTATTAATATTGATAAAATGTTTTATCTCTAGCTTCAACTGTTTCATATTAAATAGGAACAAGAGAACTCAATTAAATTGATGGAAGAAAACTATGAAACCGAACTAGCGTACTTGAAAAAGGACTTTGATGCCAAACTGTCTGAAATGAAGTATCAGGCTGCGAAGTTCAGTAACGATGACACATTAAGCAAGATGGGTGAAGAAACCAGAATGACCAAAAGGAATGAGGCTAAAGAAAATAAAGCCCGTAACACAGAAAGTCGACCAAAACAACAGCAATTACAAGCAGAAAAAATGTCCAGTACACCAAAGATTACATCAAGATCTGAAGAAATAGTGGCTCACGACGAACAAGATATATATAGTTTTACCACTCAGAAAATTAGTGGCACGGTAGACAAAGTAAGAGTTACAATATGAGTATATGTGTGTGTGTGTAAAATACTATTTTATTCCATTGTGCAGGTTCCTGACTATAAAGAAAATTTGTTTTTAAGATCACAAAGAAGTCAAGAAACTGAATATGAGGTATTTCCTATGTACAGTTTAATTTAATGCAAAATTATATGTACTTGTATAATTTCACCATTATTTCATACAAATAGGGTCTTACCAGTACGCAGAAGAAGAAAAGGATTTTTAAAACGCGCGAGACTGGATTAAGACAGTATACATCTACAAAAAAAATAATTAAAAAATAAGGTTTTCTAGGAAGTTTGTATAAAATCAACTCTTCATAAAACAATAACATTCTTTAATACTAAATAACAACTTTTGTAACAGTACACCATAATCAATAAAGCATAAATAACACTTTGAAACGTTAAATACTACTTTCATTCTATTATTTCATAATATTCTAACATTTGGAGTATTGTGTATTACATACATGATGTTGCGCCCCTTATTTGCGTCTTAGTATCGCGTTCACATACTACAGCATTTCATGCTTTAGTCATGCACACACATATATTCCAAATACAGTTTCATATATTCTAAATGTAAATTGTACTTGTATCCATTTTAATAATCCATTTCATCTTCAAGTTATTTATCAAACGAAGAGGAGGAAGTATCCCATTTCATTGATCTTTCTACAGCCATTTTCCATGTAGAATATTTCAAATCCCGTTCTGAAACACGGAAGTATGATTTATATATATATTGTTTGTTTCACGCGTCTACACTAAAGACTAGAATATTACCATCTTCTCCGATTGAAGGTGAGAATTTCGTAACCTGTGATGCATCTACGTCGTTAATATCAATGATGCCGACACCTACACCAGCTAATATAGCTGCACCTAATGCTGTTGTTTCCACCATATTAGGCCTCACTATGCAAAATGAATCTTTACACTTCTTACAAATTCATTATTAAAGAAATTGAGAATTTGAAATTGTAACAAATTTAATAACAGAGAAAGTGAAACGTACCAACACTTATTCCAGTAATATCAGCTTGTAGTTGCATGAGTAAATTATTTACAGTCATGCCGCCATCGACTAGTAATGTAGTCACTTTTGTTCCAGAATCTTTTACCATAGCTTCTAAAATATCTCTTGTTTGGAAGCAAACAGCTTCCAAAGTTGCCCTTACAATATGATCATCCTGTGTATCTTCTGTGATACCACAAATTACCCTAATAAGTGTACATAAATAATATTTTTAACACGTAATTAGAGCCGGAAAAGAAAAATAGCTATTTTAAATATTAATTTCTGATTACGTGTATTTACCCTCGTGCATCTTGTTGCCAATATGGTGCATACAAGCCAGAAAATGCAGGAACAAAATATACCTCTCCTGAAGTCTTTCCACGCTCTGCCATTTCTTGACACTCTGAAATGTTACTGAAAAGTTGCATATTATCGCGCAACCAGGACAACGCTGCTCCGGCCACAGCAACAGAGCCTTCTAAAGCATAAACTGCTGGTGATTTGCCCATTTTGTATGCAATAGTTGTTATAAGACCCTGATTTGAATCTACTTTCTAAAATTACATTAAAAAAATACATAAGTATATTTAAATTTTATATATGTAGCTTATAATAATATTAAATCATTCAAAAAAATGTATACATACAACACTTCCAGTATTGTACAGTAAGAAACAACCAGTTCCATAAGTAGCTTTTGCTTGTCCAGGCTTTAAACATAGCTGACCAAGCAGGGCTCCTTGTTGGTCACCAACACACTACATACGTAAAAAGAGAAATATATTGATTTATTTACAGATAAGCATTAAAAAATGAGAACTTTACCCCTGCTATAGGTACACCTGAAAGAATTTCAGGATTTGAAATATATCCATAGACTTCGGCACTGGACCTTATTTCAGGGAGAATGTGTTGTGGAATTCCAAAAAATCGACATAGTAAAGGATCCCATTTCAAAGTTTCAATATTCATTAGCATAGTACGGGATGCATTTGAAACATCGGTCATATGCAATTTTCCTTTTGTCAAATTCTGTAATGAAAATGGATAAAACAATGAAACGCTACTGATATAATTTGTTGACAATTAAAATAATTGTCAGCATACCCAGATGAGCCATGTGTCCACTGTTCCAAATATACATTTTTCTGCATCTACTGACTGTTTCACACGTGGTATGTTATCAATAAGCCATCGTATTTTAAGAGCACTAAAATATGGTGACATTGGTAGTCCACAGAGTGGTTTTAAATAATTTTTGTTCCTTGTTTTATTAGGTATACTATCCAATATATCTTCTAATGTTGTAGTTGTCCTCATATCATGCCAAACTATAATATTGATATTAGTTGTTATTACTGCCCTTGATTCAACAATGTGTAAATTATTAATATATAAATATTCAAACAATATATAATCTACCTTACCAAGTGCATTATGTAATGGTTCTCCTGTATCCTTATCCCATAATAAAGTTGTCTCTCGTTGGTTGGTAATTCCTACCGATTTTATGTCTGATGCGCTTAAACCTAAATTGCTTAGCTTTTCCATGGTCTTTTTTATACAATTTATCACAGCATGTAAAATCTCCTTTGGGTCCTGTTCCACCCATCCTTCTTGTGGATATTTCTGAGTGATTTCAATTTGATGCGAAGCTATCACGTTTCTGTGTAATACATCAAATACCTGAAGTGGAACATAGTATGAATATATCTTTTCTTCTAATTTTTACTGACATTTTATACAAATAGTATCATCGATAACATTGTATAAATTAATTACACTTGTCAATAAAAATAGAGGAAATGAATAGGTGAAAACTTGATTAAAGATTTTTCATAGAAGATTAACGATATATACGTATACAAATTCTTTATGCTTAGTTGCCAATGGGATAAAACATATCGTAAAGTAAACACTATCGTATAATCGTATTCAGATATCTGTTCGTTCACTATTTATTTTACATTGGAATTTAGAACTTACTAAGAACCGAGCGCTACTCGTTCCTTCATCTATTGCCCCAATGAGCGGCCCTGTATGGTCAATGTCTCCTGGCATATTTTTTCGTTATTTTAGACTTAGAATATAAGAAAGCACTTAAGATGACCTCTGCTTAACCTTCGTCCTAACTTGTTATATAATGATGCACATTAAATATAAATTCGATCAATGATAACAGCGCATTTTGGAAACTCAAATTTCAAACGCATTCGAAAAACACGAAATATGTAACGATATTTTTCCTTCAGCCTACTACTTCAGATATCGTTTTCCTGTTATACTTTGATTATATCATAAATGCTCTTTACTGCATGATTATTTATGACTAACAGTTACAGAATTTATGTAAGTTCATTGTTATCTGAATTTTACAATTTATTTTACAAGTCACGTTAAAAAGTATGTACATATGTACATTGTGACATGTAAAAGTAATTTAGATAAAGCATCGACACCGCGTGGCGAACATGTAAAGCTCTTCTCTTCCATTTAAGAATAAATATCTACATACATACATATAATAATAATATCTGATTAATATTATCTCTTTTATACATTTCCGTAGGAAATTTACAGCAGATACATTATTTTCGTTTTTCCTCGTCAAATTAAGATAAAATAAACGTACAGATTCAAACAAACAGTTTTACTTCGGGTCTAACGATTTATACAAATCTGTACACATGTCAATATGTATTACTATAAAAAGCAAATAAAATTACGTAAATGATAATAAATAAAGATTACTCTGTATACAATATCGTAAGGCATTTAAGTTCCAAATAAATATTGCTCAATCAAATTCCTAGTTAGATTTGGTATGCATAAATCGAAGCACGTGATTTTAACGCGATCACAAATTGTACATAATGTGAGCATTTTATGAACAAGGATACATTATTTTTCAATTACTACATATGTAGTTTTAAATTAAAATTATATTTCCTCCATAATTCATCTTTTTCACGATTTATATGTATCAGAGAGAAAATCACTGTCTCACCAGATCTTGTAAGATGGTATTTAAATTCTTGTTCGTGTAAAACGAATCAATGAGGATACTATCAGCTTGTAAATATTTAGTGAAATCAGACAAAGCGAATTTTTCCAAATTAGATACACATGTACGTATGTATTATACATTATGTGTTTTTTTAGATTTTATTTGGAAATGAAGTCGTAGAATTGTAGATTGTTGTACATAGTGTCCTTTAAACCAGAAAGTTGGCAAGAAAAATGGCTTCAGATATCCCTACATTATAGTAATTTTCTACGATCAAGGAATATTTATCTCATTTCACTTTGCGTTACCGGTAAGGAAAGACGTACGTTTGTGGAAGAAGTGAAAGATTCTTTGCTCGATATAATTGAATTAGATTAAACTGTGATCTGTGGCTAATACGCGTGGATTTTCTCATGTTTCAGGCAAACCCACCATTAAACTGGCTTCGTAATAGACAGTTATTACTTGGCCGGATTTCTTTATTACGGTAGAGTGAGTATGGCTTCCTGAAATGTCGTATCTGTCCCATACGAATATCTCTCTTTCTCTTTCCGTCTGTCTTCCTCTATCTGAACATAACGGCACTAGCTTTGGGTTTCCGGGTGTTTTCTGTTTCGTTCGAAAAATTTATGAGTATCGTTTCTTGACACGTACAACGTGCACACGTATCATTTACGAAAGAGGTTAGCGATCTTGTGACGTGTCAAGTGAATACTTCATTCCATATGGTGGTCACTGGCACAATCACTCGCTGGTCATTGACATGCTGGCATTTAACTTGATCTGCTTCGTTCTTTCTCTTTCAAAGTAATTGTCATGGAATCGTATTCGTTACCGAGATTTCGACCGATTTACGGTGACTGTAATATATAGTCGAGTAAACGTTTACGTAAAATGTATATCGTTAAAAGATGTTTTACATCGTATTCTATAGGCATGACTATCGATTCCCCTTAGAATTTTTCGTATCGATCGTACCTCTTTCTGTAATTTCTCGGAGTCCGAAACTGCAGTTTATGATTTCCCAATGCTATTCACAGACTTGACTAATTCAATTAATTGTGAAATAATATAACAGTGAAATAGATTTGAATATTTTGTTACATTTCAAACACGTGACAAAAGTGTAAACCTTAAATACATTTTATGCAACAAAACAGTACAATTTAAATTCACAATGTGAAATTTGTATAGTTCATATTTGGAAGGTTAAGACATTGGCAATGAGTAACACTTGTATAGTTACATTTTAAAAGAATATATTTAACATGATTCAAAGTATTTTATAAGTTTTACGGTTAAGTATATTGAGATTTATATTGCAGTGCTACTGTAAGGACTTGGCACGAAACAGGATAATCCCACCATGCAGCAGCAGTCAGTAATGGAAGAGGGAACGGCCTATGAGCCACCTACCTACGATGAGACATTCCCAGTACTTCCTGAATCAGCCAGTTCAAGTTCAGGGAAATTAAATATTTTCTCCATAAGTAATAACTTACAACTAGGGCGCATAACAATTACACAGGTATAAATTACAGTTTTTATATATACATAGATTTTCCAATTCACAAAATTTCATATTTCTCTTGCATTAGATGTTTTGTGTACCAGCAGAAGAACGCAAGTTTGATCATAGCGATAAATTTGGTGAACGTGAATCTATTCGCACGTGTAAAACAATAATGAAAGAAACAAACACAATTATTGAAATAGCATCTTCAAAAGATCAATCGCTTACATTCCTAATAACTGGCAAGCAGAATCAGGTTTTGGAAGCCAAGCGTCGAATTCTAACAACCTTTCAAACTCAGGTTTGGTTTAAACAATTTCGACTGCTTGGGTGTGTTTAATGAAATTTTTAATGTTTCATGTTATTCATCACAGGCAAGTAAACAAATCAGCATTCCAAAGGATCATCATCGTTGGATTCTTGGAAAGCAGGGGCAACGTCTTAAAGACCTAGAAAAGACGACTGCTACTAAAATAAACGTTCCACCTGTGCAAGATCAGTCAGACATAATAACAATCACGGGAACGAAAGAGGGAATAGAAAAAGCTGAGCATGAGATTAGAGTAATTTCAGATGAACAGGTGAGTAAATATGTTTTAATTAATCAAATCAAAGTGTATCTTAGTAAACAAAGAATACATATAATAATATATGTTGCAGTCAAGAAAGGCGTTTGAACGAGTATCTGTGCCAAAAATTTATCATCCTTTTATACATGGTGCGCATAACGAAAACCTCAATGCCATGATGGCAGAAACTGGAGCTCGAATTAATATTCCTCCTGCCTCTGTGCAAGAAGATGAGATTACTATTGCTGGTGAAAAAGAAGGTGTGCTAGCAGCTAAGCAGAAAATTGAATCCATCTATAAAGATATGGTAAGAAATTTAAAATAATTTGTAAGTCATTAATATAAGAGTAACATTACTTTCTTTTTCTAGGAGAAAAGGTGTACTACAGTGTCTGTTGAAGTTCCCAAGTCTCAGCATAAGTATGTTATTGGTCCACGAGGAAGTACTATAGCGGAAATATTGCAAGTCACTGGTGTGAGCGTCGAAATGCCTGCGTCAGATTCACCCACGGGAACTATTACTCTTCGAGGTCCTCAAGAAAAGCTTGGTCAAGGTGATGCCGAATTTAAAGATTTTTCAGTATCTAGATACAAGAATAATGCATTAACATGAACATTCTAAATATAGCACTGAACAAAGTGTATGAAAAGGCGAACAGCGTTCGTACAGCTGTAGTGGTCGCACCTGTTTGGATTCATAAATACATAATAGGAAAAAAAGGTGTGAATATTAAACGTATCACACAGGAAATGCCAAAAGTGAATGTGGAATTTACCGGCAAAGAAGATAAAATCAAAATCGAAGGCCCACCAGAAGAAGTTGAGAAAGCACAAAACGAGCTTCAGATGGTGGCTAGTGATCTGATATCTAAGCTTACATTTACAGAATTAAATGTTGATCCCAGATTTTATAAGCACATTATTGGGAAAAATGGATGCAATGGTAAGGTTTCGATATGAAGTTGGTTAATATGAGATATTCAAATAACATGTTATATTCGTATTTTTCTTTTTCAGTAAATCGTGTCAAGGAAGGAACAGGTGTTATTATTAATATTTCTGAAAATGATGGCAATAATATAATTCGTATTGAAGGAAATATGGCTGGTGTAATTAAAGCTCAAACGGTTTGTAATGTTTTTGTTTATTTAACATAATAAATATTATACATACAATTTTATACTTCTATGTGTAACAGGAATTAGTGGAGATGGTGAAAAAATTAGAGAATGAAAAAGAAAAAGACGTGATAATAGATCATCGATATTACCCTAGTATTATTGGTAATAAAGGAGATAATATTAAAGAAATCCGAGATAAATTTAATCAAGTGCAGATTACTATTCCTGGTCCAGGTATGTAGCGTGATATATGCAATAACTAGAACTCGGATTTATGCCAGGTACAAACATTTGAAAGACCTCGTCCCTTGTTGGCATTTAGCCAATAGGAGCTCTGTGTGCATTTTTAGAGTACAGGTCACGTCTCAGATTTTATATTGTTATATAGTTTCATTCTTATAAATTATAAAAAATAAATTGTTAAATAGTGAAAATAAATAAATTTATTTATATGCACTAATCTTGCATGCAATTATTTATTTGTAGGAGAAAAGGGAGACATAGTAAAAATTAGAGGGCCTAAAGAAGATGTAGATAAGTGCCATAAATATTTAATGAAGTTGGTAAAAGAATTGAATGAGAATAATTATGTGCTAGAAGTACCTATTTTTAAACAATTCCATAAATTTGTAATTGGAAAAGGCGGAGTAAATATTCGTAAAGTAAATATCTTAAAACAATATAAGTATTTTATAATAAATATACCATTTAATTGCTACTTTTCTTTTCATCATTTATAGATTAGGGAAGAAACTCAAACAAAAATCGAGTTACCCGCTGAAGGTGAAAAAAGCGATGTCATAACAATTACAGGAAAGAAAGAGAATGTAGAGAAAGCTAAAGAGATGATTCAGAAAATACAAAATGAATCGGTAAATTAATTTTGACATGTCTAGATTTAATAATTTAATACTTGTATTAAATTATTCTCATTTTTATTAGGCTAATATTGTTTCGGATGAAATAGTAATTCCACCAAAGTTTTATAACTCTCTTATTGGCACTGGTGGAAAATTAATTCATTCTATCATGGAAGATTGCGGTGGTGTTGCGATTAAATTTCCGACTGCAGAAAGCCGAAGTGATAAAGTAAATATCTTTTGAAAATTGATGTACATTTCCCTATATTTAAATTTTAATTTATAATTTATTCTGTCTAGGTAACTATTAGAGGTCCCAAAGAAGACGTTGAGAAGGCAAAACAACAGCTTTTGGAACTTACAAACGAAAAGCAATTGTCTAGTTATTCTACCGAAGTCCGTGCCAAAGTACAACATCACAAATTTCTCATTGGAAGAAATGGTGCCAGTATTAAAAAGGTTGGTATGCAAGTTGTTTAAATATACATGTTTTATATATGCTTTGATATACTAATTATCATAAGAATTATACTAATTATACTGTTTTCATCTTTCATAGATTAGAGAATCTACTGGAGCACGTATCATATTCCCAACTGAAGAAGACCAAGATAAAGAAGTGATTACTATTATGGGAAAGAAGGATGTTGTTGAAAAAGCAAAGGCTGTATTAGAAGCTACAATCAAAGAAATTGTAAGCATATATATTTATTTAATAAATTAATTCACGAGTATTGCATTAATATACAATATTCGTTATAATTGGCGAATATAGTTTTCAATCTATAAATTAATATTTTTGTTGTATAGGATAACATTACTGAAGGTGAAATCCGTATTGATCCAAAGCATCATAGACATTTTGTAGCACGTAGAGGTGGAGTACTGTATCGTATCGCAGACGAGTGCGGAGGAGTGTTAATTTCCTTTCCAAGAGNATTTGTAATTGGAAAAGGCGGAGTAAATATTCGTAAAGTAAATATCTTAAAACAATATAAGTATTTTATAATAAATATACCATTTAATTGCTACTTTTCTTTTCATCATTTATAGATTAGGGAAGAAACTCAAACAAAAATCGAGTTACCCGCTGAAGGTGAAAAAAGCGATGTCATAACAATTACAGGAAAGAAAGAGAATGTAGAGAAAGCTAAAGAGATGATTCAGAAAATACAAAATGAATCGGTAAATTAATTTTGACATGTCTAGATTTAATAATTTAATACTTGTATTAAATTATTCTCATTTTTATTAGGCTAATATTGTTTCGGATGAAATAGTAATTCCACCAAAGTTTTATAACTCTCTTATTGGCACTGGTGGAAAATTAATTCATTCTATCATGGAAGATTGCGGTGGTGTTGCGATTAAATTTCCGACTGCAGAAAGCCGAAGTGATAAAGTAAATATCTTTTGAAAATTGATGTACATTTCCCTATATTTAAATTTTAATTTATAATTTATTCTGTCTAGGTAACTATTAGAGGTCCCAAAGAAGACGTTGAGAAGGCAAAACAACAGCTTTTGGAACTTACAAACGAAAAGCAATTGTCTAGTTATTCTACCGAAGTCCGTGCCAAAGTACAACATCACAAATTTCTCATTGGAAGAAATGGTGCCAGTATTAAAAAGGTTGGTATGCAAGTTGTTTAAATATACATGTTTTATATATGCTTTGATATACTAATTATCATAAGAATTATACTAATTATACTGTTTTCATCTTTCATAGATTAGAGAATCTACTGGAGCACGTATCATATTCCCAACTGAAGAAGACCAAGATAAAGAAGTGATTACTATTATGGGAAAGAAGGATGTTGTTGAAAAAGCAAAGGCTGTATTAGAAGCTACAATCAAAGAAATTGTAAGCATATATATTTATTTAATAAATTAATTCACGAGTATTGCATTAATATACAATATTCGTTATAATTGGCGAATATAGTTTTCAATCTATAAATTAATATTTTTGTTGTATAGGATAACATTACTGAAGGTGAAATCCGTATTGATCCAAAGCATCATAGACATTTTGTAGCACGTAGAGGTGGAGTACTGTATCGTATCGCAGACGAGTGCGGAGGAGTGTTAATTTCCTTTCCAAGAGCAGGTGTAGACAGCGATCGTGTAATATTGAAAGGTTCGCACGATTGCATAGAAGCCGCGAAGCAAAGAATGCGAGAGATCGTGCAGGAACTGGTAAAATTTTTTAAATTTCTACTAGTATCATCTTTCATTTTTTAGGCGCACATGTTTTTTTCATTGTTTTTTTTTAGGAATCAATGGTAACTAAGGAATGTATAATACCTCAGAAACATCACCGAACCGTTATGGGGGCGAAAGGACGTAAAGTGCAACAGGTCACTTCCGAATATGATGTACAAATCAAATTTCCAGATCGTGAAACATATGGTACATGTCACTTTATTTTATTAGTATAATTTTTCAATATTGAACTTTGATGATAAATAAGATTCTCACACGTATAATTTCATAACTTTTAGACGAACATCGTGAAGGAGAACAAATTAATGGCGAGAACGGAGAAGTTTCGGAAACAGTTCCGGCATCTGATATTATTCGAATTACAGGACAGCCAGAAAATGTTGAAGCTGCTAAGCAAGCGCTTCTCGATCTAGTACCGATTACAATAAAGGTCAGCATATTTAGTACATATAGTAAACAATAGTAAAATAGTTTTATAATTGAGTTAGATAAAAGATTGGATTTACAATTGTAGGTGGAGGTACCGTTTAATTTACACCGTTCTATAATAGGACAGAAGGGCCGTGACGTGCGAGAGCTAATGTATATATATGACGTTCATATCATGTTATCTCCGGCCGTAGAGAAGCTTGATTATATCAAGGTATGTAAACTGTTGTATGAAGTTAATATATTATTCATTATTCGAGATTAATATATTGCCTTTTGTTTACTAGATTTCTGGAACTCCTTCTTGCGTTGAAAATGCGAAGCAAGCTATTTTAGACAAATGCAAAGCTTTGGAAGCTGAACGACAAGATAGAGCCTTGAAATTATTCGAATTGAAGGTATCAATACTCATTATTTTAAGTTTTATTCATACAGCGCTGGCCGAATGTGACCAAAATAATACTAAGCTTGCCTTTTTTTTAGCTTGAAGTTAATCCAGAATACCACCCAAAAATAATTGGACGTAAAGGAGCTGTAATTAACAAAATACGTAGCGATCACGATGTCGAGATAGATTTTCCGCGAAAAGGCGACCCCGAAGAACATATCATTACAATCACAGGTTATGAAAAAAATGCGTACAGTGCTCGAGATGATATTATAAAAATTGTGAATGAATTGGTAAGTATATAATCATTTATATTCAATTTCACAGTCTATCTCCGATGATAAATAATTCTGTATTTCATTGTCTTTTTAATCGTTTAGAATGGCTTGACAAAGGAAGAAGTGGACATAGATTATCGTGTACATTCGCGTTTAATTGGTACAAAGGGTAGAAACATTCGTAAGATAATGGACGAATTTTCAGTTGATATTAAGTTTCCTCGAAAATCCGATCCCGATAAAAATCTCGTAACTATCGTGGGTACAGAGGAGAACGTAGCCGACGCAAAGGATCATTTATTGAATTTAACAGAAGAATATGTAAGTATTATAACATGAGTGACACCTACAAAATCTAGATAACGGAATCAAGAGCTTTAAATTGTTGACAGATACAGGATGTTTTAGAAACACAGATCTGTCAAACACCCGATGATGCCCTCCGAACTTGGGGTAAAGCCACTTGGAGTAAAGCAGGATTAAGGGTGCCTAAAGGTGGTTATTCTGATGGAGGCTCCACTGGTTTCTTTGTAACAGGTGGTCCTTGGGAACAACAACCACAAAGCGCCCCAAATACCGCAAGTGTAGAAGAATTTCCTGAGTTTGCTGGATACTCGCATGTACCTGTAACAAACCCCGAAGGTCCTTGGGGGGTAAAACGTTAAAAAAATTAAATCAAATAGAAAAGAAAAATGAAAAAAATCGACGAACGCATGTAAGGTAACAAACAAAGCATAATAACTTTCCTCTGACAAACAATATGAAAGGGTAAACGCATTAGTGCTAGGTGGTTCCCTGTTTCATTACTGATGTTGCTGCATACGACCTGGCCACTCTATTGGACTCTGACACTGGTTTACTACAAAATGTTTGACGACGGTGTTTATATTTACAGTTCATATACCAATATCCGATGTATCTGTAACTGTAACGCATAATATTTTAAGTTCGTTGCCATGTAGGAAACATGTACACGTGCGCTCACTCAACGCTCATACACAAAACATGCAGGGATATACAGTCAGATGCAAGATGGCGGCCAATTGTATTCATAACGAGAACATCTAATTTCACATTTTATTTCTGCTGATATGCCTTTCAGGTACAGATATGTTGTACTTAAGACTGTGGCTTCGTAGGAACCAATTATTTCCTTTTATGTATTATACACAGGGTGGTCAGTAAATTGTGGTACACTTGAGAAGGAGTTTCTACGTGTAAAAACACACACACACACACACACACACACACACACACAACGAAAATTTAAAATAAAATTTTTTTTTATACGAATTTCCAAAAATGAAACTTCGAACAAAAAAATTATATTGTGTATTTTCGTTTTTCTTCCCGAGTAGATGCAACTCTTTTTCTCGATCGTACTACGGTCTACCAAACAACCTGTATATATTTCTCAGATTCTCTCCATCTGTGTAGATTGCGCGACTAGACGCTTCCGCGTTTAACCGGGCATAATGTTTTTTTGTTAATTTATTTATATTTTTTTTGTACATAAATTGCATTTTCTTTCGTTTTTGTTGCGTTGGACTTCAGTGGAATCGATATCGAACCACATCACTATATTAGAATTCTGTACACAGAACCGTGTGTGAAATGTGAAGCTTTAAGGTCTTTCTAAGGAAAACGTTCCTAGATATACTACATATACATATATATGTGATTTCCTGCTTTTGTAAGTACCTAGTATAAATAAAATAAGGTCGATTCGTACACCAAAAACCATCAGTGACGCTATGAAGCGAACCAAATTGCCAACAAAGTGTTAAGCGATCATTGTATAGTCTCAAACGATGGAATTTAAGAACAGAAATGTTTTTAGTCATGATAAATAAATATGTTTTTGGGGAACATAATCTTTAGAAGGCCTTGATATTTTTCTACTGCTTTTGCGCAGTGATCGAAGACGAGACACAGCATCATTGGCATCATTTATAACGACAGAATCATGAATGTTCGTAATTTAAAGGCGACTCTTAATTTATTCTATTCTATTTTACTATTTGCTGTATAATGCGCAATGTTTGCATTCTACTATTTATGAGGCCAACTAGCTAAGAAAAAGATATTCGGTTCAAGTGCCTTGTCTATTTTCTTCAGGACAGCTCATTTCAATTGTTGGAGGAATGTGAATATTAGATTATATGTATAAACATACTCGTATATAAATATTGATAATAATTATATTATTATACACATA